TTCTCATGTGAATGAAGACGACTCGGCGTGTTTGACGCGCAGCGCTCAATCAAAACGGGAAGCGTCGAAAGGTGCGCCGCACAGCCTCTGACGCGTCGCGTGCGTGAACTGGAAACGCCAGATCGGATCCGTGGAAGAAGTCGGTGTGGCTCGAACTGCTCGCTCCAACGACGTCAAACGGGGCCGGTTCTCATAAACCTGCGCGGACGTGTGTTCCTCCTGACTCTGTGACAGCACACACACACACGCACACACACACACGCACACACACACACACACGGAGATAAAAGGACAAAAAAGCCCTCATCTGCACTCAGTGCCTGCAGTTAGGAGTGCTGGTGTGACTGAGACAAAGACCCAGTTGTGTCACTTCCTAACAGTTCAGCCCTACCTCTCTCTCCCCCTCTCTCTTTCCCAGAACCTGTCAGGTAGTGGGAGTTTGGCGTCTCACCCTTCCCCCCTTTGGTTTCTCTTCCCCCTTTCCCCCCCCCCCCCCCCCCTCCTCCTCCTCTGGGGGGTAGAACAATGTAAGGGACTAATATTAGCTTTTTATTTAAACAGATCTGACCAGCGCCACCCAGCAGTGTCCGCTCTTCATTAGTGCAAAGTGATTGTATGGAGACACCGTGTCCTAATTTCCTACAGGTAGTTTTTCAGCGGCTTCGCGTTGATGGATGGACTCCGAGAGGGAGGGAAAGTTGCTTGAGAGAATACGGGTTAAGGCTTACTGGAACACTGCGGGTTTTTGTCTGATGATTTTTTTTTTTTGCCGGTTTTCCTCATCAAACATTAAAACTTATTCGATTCAAAAGTACTTTGTTAATCCCAAAAGATCTACTGTGACAAGTAGGAAGCGGCGAAGCAGAGCAGGATTCAGCTCCGTCTCTCTTTCCAGCCACGCAGCTAGGAAAAAGATTTAAAGCAAAAGCAAAGGAGGTGGGTCAGCGGCGCTTGTCAACGACAGACGGGGTCATCTAGGACATTTTACTTTGAAATCTCATCTCCATTGCCAAGATATTGAGCATGCAGTATCGCCATCTGCAACAGCTCTTTGAAGATTTTCTTTTGGGAGAAATAAAGTATTTTTGAAATGATTTGATTCTTTTTTTTTACAAGTTTTTCCTCATGTTTTTCAGCCTCAATCTTAAAGGGTTGCCTGTGTTCAGCACCAGTCACAATGCTGCCTCCACCGTGCATCACTGTGGGACGGTTTGTCCGGGGCCTTGTGCAGGAATTGGTTCCATAAATTTCAAAATGTTCAATTTTGGTCTCATGTGAAAAGAAAGAGCTTCCCACCTGAGCAGTGGTTCGCTGACGCTCCACTAGAGCTAAAAAAATGTTAAAAGGCTTTTGACCTGGTATGAAAAACATCTGAGATTTTAATTCTGATCCATGTCACACAGCTCTATCACATAGTAAGCTAACAATACAAATCATGAGGAGTTTACTTTATTGTCTTTCTTGTTTTTTTAAATCGACATCCGTCCAACTTCTTAGATATCTCTCTGAAATCTCTCCGTGTTTTTGGTCCCAGGCAGATTTGGCTAAGTGGAGTCTAGCATAGCCAACAGCTAGTCAGGCCTTCCTCTCCTCCTCTTCCTCCTCCTCTCTACTTTTGACTAACAGATCTCCCAAGTGTTCTAAAAATACCTGGTGAACAGGGCTGCAGCGATGGTGATGAAACTGCCTCTCTGACACTGTCCCACTGCAATCCATCTCTCCACCGCCTGCCAGCCAGCATATGTTTGCAATTGGCTCCCCCCAGCAACCCCCATTGCCTCTCAACTCCCCACCCCTCAGCAAACTGGTCCCCAGTTGCCTGTTCGGATACACCCCCCCCCCTCGCTCTCCCCTCTCCCCGTCAAACACACACACACACCCTCTCCACCCGTTCCCTTACACACTAACACACACACACATACATACATGCAGGCGCTTGCACAATTCCCCATCCGCTCCCTCTCGCTGTCTCTCCTTCTCCCTCAGCAAGCGTCCTAGTCTCCAGATCTGGGCTTTCAAAACCGGTGCGGTTATCAATCACTGAACCGGCTCTATCTCGTACACCTACACACACACACACCTACACACCTACACACACACACACACACACACACACTTCCTCTCTTTCTCAGTTTCCTTCTCTTCTTCGTTTCGTCTCCATTCTCTCTTGTCTTTCCATCCCTCCATCTCCGTCTCTCTTCCTGTCTCACTCTTCCAATCCTGTCGTCCTCTGCCTCCTCTTGCACATTTGCCCAAATTTGTTCCACTTAATAAGCCCTCCCCAATGACCTTGCGCTAATTAAGCTGCACTGCGTTGGAAATATGATGGTTAATTAATGATGAGATAAATTCTGTCTGCAGGACTGTCAGAAAAATGATGACACCGTGTTTTACAGGTTTAAATAGAACAAACCTTGTGGCTGTCCTCTCTCAAAGAGAGATGCAGGAGTGTAGGGGTGTGTGTGTGTGTGTGGGTGTGTGTCAGCGTGTGCAATGAAAGAAAAGAGGAGATTGTGGTCATTTGCAGAAAGAATCTGTAGGCCAGGGTGGCTAATGTTTTCACATGTAGGTATGTTTTTTTTATTTCTATTCCTTTTTTTTTTGTCAAAAACTGATTAAATCAAACCGCTGTGGGTCTCCAAGCTGCTCTGTGAACTTTGACCTTGTATATTAAATCTGCTGTTTGGGCAAATTTTCCCCAACATGCAACAGCTGAGTCTCTAGTGACATAAGTGTAGCTTTATCTCAGTAAAATCTGACATTGTTTTGGTTGATTAAGGTCAGTGAAGATATCACTACTTGTTCTTTTCTTACTATTTAAAGTCTAAGTTTAAATAGTTATTTTTGGACTTTGATTTTGTAGCTTCCTTGTTCAGGGAAGATAAAGCTGTTGTGGCTTCTCATCGGGCCTGTAGGGCAGATCAATCAGGGTAGACTTAGTTTAGTTTCCCAAACTTCTTTGAAACTTTACATCATCTTCAAGGTTTGACCTGACAGTCTTTTGTCCGGGAACTTTGATTTCCAGCTAAAGTTTGGCTCCATTTTTGTTCTTTTTGTTGTTTATATTGATAATCACTTACTTATGGAAATGTCAGCATGAAGCTTTTTTTCCTTCTTAATTTTCTTCCTCTCGGACTTATTCAGGCAGGAAATGATGAAAGATAATTCCAGTCCTGTGCAGATAATGTAGGAAAACCACACAACCCATATCAATATTAAATTACATTCAGTTTGGTGGAGGTGACAAAATATTTGCAGACTCTAAATTAGCTGCAGAAACTCTGGAACTCTGCCTACTTGTGTATTTTTTCATAGAACGTCTATAAAATATTCAAAAAGAAAATGTGACTTAGGAAGTTACTTGACATACTATTGACTGGTGTTTGAAAACCAGCCAATTGAGGAGCTGCAGGGTTTCTGCAGGTTTCACCAACTCAAATTTAAGAATTGTTAAGACCTCTTTAAGACCACGATCAAAGGAAGAGTCATGTATCTCCACAAAAATGTATGAACTTGTCCACCTAAGTGTCGATAAATTTGCACTTACCCAGGATAAATGCAAAAAAGCTTGCTAGCTAGCTAGCTGTGACTAGGAAGCTAGCAATGAAGTTCTCTACGTGCAACTTGGCAAAACAGGTAACTCTTGTGAGAAAAAAACAATACATCATTTTTAAAGGTGTAGTTAGGATCACATTGTCCTCTTTAAGGTGTAAAAGTTCATGTTCCCACAGGTTTTATTCTGTGAAAGACCGCTTGTTGAGATGCTACAAGATTGGTGCAGAAGTCATTGTGTGTAGAATTTTCCAACCACAACAACTAGTCTTTTTTTTTTTTGCTAAATTACAAAATCTTCAATGTTACCAGAGTTGGTAGCAGATGGTAATTATTCATAGAAGCCTGCTTCTTTATATTAGATGGATTTTAACTGTTCTGTCATAAGGAAAGAGGGATTTAAAAAGCAAAACGTCACTGCATTTGGGAAGTCACAAAGGGTAAATGGAAGGTTTGGGAGTGGAAAAACGGAAAAAAAAAAAATTCCTGCAACCTGTAGAGAAATGGAGCTTACAGCATCCAAACCATGGATGAAACAGAGCTGCAGCAGCTGAGGAGACCCCGGATGTGTTGCCACGTAATCCAGAGCAGCAGCTGACAGTAGGAATTTAGCTGATAATGTCTGAAAGATTGAAAGGCGTCTAGTCGGACCGCTCGCTGCTATATCTGAAGCCACTTGTCATGTCTAATACAGCATGTTGTCAAAAGTATCAATTTTGGTTGTGGAGAAATGAAAAAAAAATAAACAAAAAAAAACACGTCTGTTTCTATTTTAGCAGCGCTCTTGACAGATTGAGAGGTGTTTAACGTCTCATTTGGGCTTGTCAGTGTTTCGGGGGGTGGAGGGAAGGATGCTTCACAACTTCATCTGCTCAGCGCATACATACACACACACACGCAAACACACACACACATTCTGACAGCAGGACTCTGTCTCTGATAGACAGGGCCGAGCGAGTGAGGCATTCCACATGCGCAGCAAACCCCACACTCACATCCATAGACAGAAATGGGGAAAAGCAACATCATTCATCCTTAATTCAAGAGAGAAAGATGAGGGAGAGAGCGAGATAAAGTTTGACAGAAAGGGGGGGGGAAAAATGATGTAAGCAAGAGACGGAGACAGACAGCAGACAGCCATTTAACTCATTAGGGAATGAGAGGATTTCATGTTATATTTAGCTGGAAATTTAACTAGCAGGGAATTTGGGTTTGAGAGCTTGCAGAGGCTCCGGCAGAGTTTGCTGCAGTCATCCTCCAAAATCTTGAGGTCACTTTTTTAGGATAGTGCGAAAAGAAACAACAGAAAAGCAGACAGTTCTCCGGGATCCAGCCAAGAAACACGTCGAGGCTCTCTCTGTTTCCTCTAAACACGTTCGTTCTAAGTAAAGTGCGATTCTGAATGCAGACAGTGACATAAAAAATGCAGCCGCGTGCGTTTGAATTACCTTTCTTTACGCTGCCCGACTCCGTGTTTTCCCAGCAGGTGAGTATTGAGGTGTTTCTTCATCACAAAGGCCCATCTACAGGGGAAAAAAAAAAAAAAAAAACAGAAAACAAAAGCACAAATTCAGCACCAGTTAACAGTGGAATACAATCAAACTTTACTGCAGGATCAAAGCCAGAGCTTTGTGATAAAAGAGTAAAACAAAAGCTCTCTATTCGCCAAGGTCAAATATGCATACTGCAATTTAGACGAAAGCGATCGCTTTCAAAATACGCAAGAAGTGAATTAAAACACATTCACTACCTAGATTCTTACATTTTTTTCATAAGAAAAAACATTTTAACAAATATTTACTGTAGCCTTGGATTACTAGAGCGGTTCTTGCAGTCAGTATCTAACTTGAAGTAGGTAGGACATTTACTGTCCATGATCTCTCTGATTAGCCATGCTTTAATAAAAGAGAAAACAATATTAATGAACTCTTTAAGGTAAAGTATGCGACCCAAACAGACCTGCTGCTAATGAATTTTAGCACAATCAGAAGCTCAAAGTTTGAGCCTGTTGACTTAGTCGGCACCTTTCTGGTGGTGTTTTGTGTGGGTCTCTCCCCGAAACACGAGTGTTCCACCAATACACTCGCTCTCACACATGTGCAAGAATTTAAACGCACATGTATCAACAGAACACGTAATCGCACGCACATAATCAAAACCCAGCAGAGTACTGTTGCTCGACAGTCACCACAACGTCCTGACTTTGTCGAGGGCCCCGAGTTTAGCGTGTCTCCGAAACAGCTTATGAAAACATAATGAACGGATGACAGGAATAACTACTCTGACATCCAAGCTGCTTCGCCAGTGTTTTCATCCCCTGGCCCTTTTCATTTAGCACCCATCACTTCCCATTATTGTGCCACGGAGAGACAATGACCACATCTGAGAGCCGGGGACGGCGCAACGACCAAAACATGAAAGCGGGCGAGGGAGTCGAACCGGCAGCTGCGCGGCTGGCACCGTCGCTGCACAAACTCAGTGCCTCCCTTTCCTTCTTTTCTGGATGTTTTTATTATTTTTCTTCTCCCCCTCTCCTTCTTCCAAGTCGACCGTCGTTCTATTTTTTAGCTTTTGAAGCTTTCCTTCTCGCTCAGTAGTCGTGTTTTGTGAAGCAAAAGCATAATTATTTCACCATTTATGTCGGTATGTCAGTTTTCGCTTCCTCCCCCCCCTCCCTCTTCCAACACACACTGCAGTGTCCTCCACGGCCCTGGAGTCCCATCCGTCACGGAGGCCCCCGAGGCCGACTCTAACTAACACCATCATATAAATATTCAAACATGTTCCACTGTTTTGCCTCATTATCGTCACTCTAGATCTTCGCAATCCTCTCCAACTCAATCCGTCCACCCATCCAGAGTGATGCCTCGGAGTTAAACCCGGGAGCGAGCTAGTAAATCTTACTGTGTTCCAGTAAGGGAGACCGGCAAGATCAAAATGCCGGGCTTCGCTTTTGACCGACGCCGTCATCTACAAATAAATACGCAAGCAAAATTAAGATATTTATGGGAGGAGGTGGTGGGGTGAAAAATAGTTAATCAATATCATGTTTGAGGGAAAAATCTGAGCCTCTGGAACACTTCGCTCGTGCCTGTTTAAGTCGTCGTGTTTAGACATGAAGGGAAAAAAGAGCTTGCAAACATTCCTGTTAATTATGTATTACAGCTGTCCTTCATAAACCTAATTACAGAGTGCTGAAAGGCAACGGGGGCAATTTGCATATGCGCATGAAAGACAAGACATATGCAAAATATGATTTTAATTAGCATTCTTTGATAGCGAGGGGTACAAATCAAACTGGCGTGTTGTGAGATTTTCATCTCGGCTTCTTTTTTTATTTATTTATTTTTTTTAAACAGGATTATTCTCGGAGTGGCACCAGCGCAACATGGCTAATGCCCTGTGGAGGCACCTGGCAAGTACAGAAACGGCGACGTGCGTTCATATTCACGGACGTGCACGGCGCTAGGCAACCGTGCGTAACTGGAAGTGGAGAACGCGCACAAAGGACGATTACACGTTCACAATTAGTTCTTCACCATGTGATTATCTTAAACACACACACACACAAAAAAAAATGTGGGCTGCAGACACACAAACACACAAGGGCAGAAAAATGGTTATCCTTCCTCGCAAAAAGACATCTACAAGTACCCAATCTCTCATGCACGCACTAACGCAGAGAAGGATCCCGTATCTAAATGTTAAGGGGCCAAATCCATTTGTTTAAGGCAGTGTGTAATCAGCCCCCTGCCCACGGTGTGTGTGCATCCTCCGCCATCCAGGTCAAGGCCTCAGCTTGTCGTCCCGCTGCCTTGGGCTGCATCATCAGCCCCAACCATCAGCCTTGATGGTTATTGTAACAAAGGGATACTTTAACATGCCATTCATCCATATCAATTCTCTTCCCCCTCATGAATTGAACTAATAAGGCTGTGCCTCTGCCCTCCAGGGATGCTCATAATATCCATTGCGGATATGAAAAGAAAAAAAAAAGAAAAGAAAAGAAAAAATGAAAAGGCAGAAAGGAAGACAGAGGCTCTGGCGTTCCACGTTCGACTTTCCCCTCAGACTAATCGGCGCGCCACAGCTCGTTAGGTCCGTGACGTGCCGGAGCTTTACCGATAAGCAGGGGAGACACGGCTCAATTACCCACAGTTACCATCTTTCTCTTTCTCTTCCCACCCGCCGCCTGACGATGAAGAGATAACTTGTCAATATTTGATACAAACAACTTCATTTGCCTAATGGGGTTCCTGGATAGGCCCGTCCACAGGTCTGCTGCAAGGGATGAAAGATCTAAGAAGAGAGGCCTCAAGCCAGACTGGGCTTAGGACAACCTGAACACCACACCCACAAATCGGCCGCACGCCCATTAGGAGTTCAACGTGGCATGCCAGGAGATGGAGCAAGGACCTTCAGAGTGTATCTCACAAAGTTTTGCTACAATTTGTTATGCTGGTTTCTTGAAGTTTCACTGTAATTGTAGCCTGGTAAAAACCAGCCCACTTGTTCTGCGCCATTTGCTTCGTACAGAGGGTCTGGAGCCTCTGCTATGGAGACATGATTTCTTCCTGGAGGCGAGGACTCAAGTTTTACATTTTACCTAATCACTAATGTGCCAGATGGATGCTATGAAGCGTACTGGAAATCCCTGCGTGTAAACAACCATCATCCACTGCGAAAAGAGAAGAGCTGAGCTGAACGAGATGGATGTTAATGCTAACTCAATATTTGGATGGATTTGTTCACTTCCTTTGCTACCATTGCTAACGCTACAGGCAGACTACTCTAAAGCAGCGCAGAAAATCAACATCAACGTTCATTGATGTTGATCATGTTCATTCGCTGATTGGCCCGATTGATATTCTACTGGAGAAATCCACTTCAATGGGAGAAAGCCGACACTGTGATGGCCAGAATCATGTAATTGTAATCTTTGGCTTTGGGGGACGGACAGAGCTGCATTACTCTATGCTTCATACATAATGAGGAAAACCCTGATCAATCTGAAACTTTATCTGGCATCATATTTACAGTCATTTTAATCATATAAATAGAATGACAAGATATCTTACCACTCTAGGGGCCACAGTTTTATGAAACGATGGTAACGGCAAGCGGCACATGCCGAGACTCAAATCTGCAGCGTTTTCTACACTCTGGCTCTTGCCTTCCCACACAGATCTGCTTGATCCAAAGCAGATCCACAGTCTGGGCTTTCTCCCACTGACTTCTCTCTGGTAGAATTTGTACTTGGCCAATCAGCGATCAGAAGGGGAAGCTGTGAACAATGACGTCCATTTTCTGTGCCGCTTTAGAATTGTAGTTTGCCCGGAGTTTTAGCAATGGCAGCGGAGGAAACGAACGAAGCCGTTCAGTCCGTGTTGGCCACGCTTCCAAATAACGAATTAACATCAACGTTCATCTGGTTCAGCTCGACTCTTTTCCCATAGCAGCGTAGGAAGAGGCGATTTCCGGTCACACATTGAACTAACGCATTACACATGACACGGACAAACGTTAACGAATGCGTAACATTTAAATTCAGAGTCCATACCTCCAAGAAACAATCGTTTCTCAATAGCAAAGTGTCGTACAAAGGCTGGTTTTTACCAGGTTAACATTCTTCTAGTAGTTACCATTATTTTCTCTATGAAACCTAAAAGAAACTGAGTTGTGATGCTTTCATTGTTTACCATCTAAACACTCCCTAGTTAAAAGTTAAAACACATATCCAACAGGGTCTTCAGGGCATAAAGAGATCCAAAAAGTCATCAGATGCAGGTTTGGCTCTACCGTCGGCGGGTCGAGTTGCCGACAAATCTCAGTAAGGAGGAGCAGTTCGGCTGAGGGAAGATGAAAGTGCAGGTGGGTATGAGCTCTGAAGTTATGGGACTACGTTTCAGCTCTTTTCGATGAACACACACACACACACACACACACACCTACTCCCACAGTGGTCCGCTGGGCCCCAAAGAAATGAGTGTGTGCGGGCTCATCTAGCCTACTGTGCCAGTCCTAATGACGGCCCCCACCTGCTGCTTTAATGTCACAGCTGGATCGCCCTCCATCCTTCACTGACTCTGACTGCCATCAGCAGCAGGTAGCTCCCCCTCCGCATCCTCCCACCTCCATCTCGTCTGCCATCTCACGTTCCTTCATCTCCCCTCACTTCCATCTTCTGCCTCTGCGAGCTCTCGTCTCGGCTGAGCCTCCTTCCCCATCCATCTCCCTCCACTCCACATCGCCTCTCCGTTTCTACATCCTTTGGGCCATACCTCCTTTCACTTCCTCATCCCATTTCTGTCCATCTTTTCTATCCGTCTATTATCAACATTTCTTTCTTTTTTTTTTTTCTTCCCCGCTCAATTTGGAGTAACTCCATATTTAGAACAAACTGGGGAAATTTGGGAACTCAGAACAATTTGAAGTTGTAAAAGCACCGAGCCCCTTTACAATTAACTTGACAATTCTCTGTTGCTGTAGGAGACATGCTAGATTTATAAAAGCATGCAGTCAC